GTGTTAATGCTGCATGTGGGAAATATTTCAGTTTTAACAAAGATTTATTAAATACAATGCTTTGAAGTGTGTGAGTAAGAATGAAAACTTTCCTTAGGACTGGATTGAATTTGAAGAAATAGCAGATCTAGAGGAGCGTGCTAAAAGCCAGTTCTTTGAAAAAGCTCATGAAGAGGTTGTGTTGAAGACGCAGGAAGCTGCGAAAGAGAAGGAGTTTCAGAGTGTCCCAGCTGGGCCAGCTGGTGCAGTTGAGGTAAGTTTCAGCTTGCCAGACAACAAGAATCTAGTTATCAGCACAGATAGCAAGAATCGGGTTTTTCAAAGGCTTGTACTGTATTCTTGTTACTAAATGTAGACTGGAATATTGTGCTTGGGCCTTTGTACAGTCCCTCCATAGGTTGTGTATTTGTGTGTGTAATGGTTGCTTCCCAGGGGCAGGAGTAGTATAAACCATCCGTAGTTAAAAAAAAAATACACCCATTGTCATTCTGTGGTTTTAGCAAAATTTAAATGGGCAAAGTGTGTTAATTTGCTGAATATTTAAGTAGAGTAAATAGAGTAAGCAGTTTGTCCTTTGATGGATTTTTGCCATCCAGGTAGCTACAGGGCATACTGAGTTTTGGTACTTCCAAACAAAATTTTCTTTTTTGGTAGCAGATAGGCATTAGAAATACCAAAAGTAACCAGTAGAGCTGTATTTTGGTTGATGAACTGGTGCAATAATCAAATACAAAAGTTGTTAGAATTACAGTTAAGTTTTATGTGCTAAGTCTTTAAGAAACTAGCTATGAAACCAGAAAGGCCTTTTTTTTTTAATTTTAAAAAGCACCTTTTGTGCTTTGTTCTCTGCGTTGATATTTTTTCACAAAAGTACTAGAAACATTAGTACTTCATCTAAAAGTTCTGCCTTGACTTGAAATTGCAAGCTAAAGGGGAAGAATTAAGATAATGCCATAAATAAAAGTAGCTAAATCACTGTAATGGATTGTCTTACATGGCAATAAGACAGCATCACACTGTTACAAAATGCTTTGCAGACTTACTAGCTAAAGGGGGGCAAAGCTTACCTTTCTCAAGTGACAAAGAGTATTCAGGGCCCGGAGGGTGATCCTTTCTCTGGCTGCAAGCCATACTCAATTTTTAATTAAGGTTTACTAATTATTAAAGTGATTTTTAAAGTGTGGAAAAAAGATCATGTTCTAGGCTTAATATACTTAATTTAAAAGAACCTTATTTGACTCCTGGGTTCTTGAATTTCATGAGTTCAGCAAATTGCAATAACATCATTTATCTCTCTTATTCCAATAACTTTTCAGAGCTGTGAAATTTGCCAGGAACAATTTGAACAGTATTGGGATGAGGAAGAGGAAGAGTGGCACTTGAAGAATGCCATCAGGGTAGATGAAAAGGTAATCTGATTTTATTTACATGTTAATTAATTAATGCCTGAAGAATTGCAGAAAAAAATACCCAGGAGGAGGTGGCAAGTGCTCCTTTCCTCCTGAAGAGTTCTTGTAGTTTTCCTGGCTTCCAAATATATAAATATCTCTGCCTTCAGAAGTGCCTGAAATCCTGGTGTAATTGCTGTGGGCTCACTAGCCCTCCCTTACACTGCAGTGCTTAAAGAAAAATGCATGTCTCTGTGTATGGGTGTAGGTATGGATTCAATTGATTCTGGATGCAGCTGTGCACAGATAATTCCCAGCACTCACAAGGCTTCTGTAATTCCCTGCACTTTATCAGCCTTCTGTATGATAACGTTTCCTAAATAAACATCACAAAATCTTGTCTCAGGTATAATTTACACCATACTTAGACTGCTCAGACCATAGTTTCTCTAGATGAATTGTATGATAATGTGTAATAGACACTGTTTAGTTCGTTACAGTGATCCTGCTATAATTTATTTTTACATATTCAAATGTATAACAATTTTTTTTTCAGATTTACCATCCATCTTGTTATGAAGATTACCAGAATGTAAGTAGATTGTTCATATTTTTGGAAGCACTTTGCTTTCAGTTTGTTTGCTTGATTTTCTTGACTTTGCAGGGAGCAGATGTGTTCAGAATGTGCTGCCCATTTGCCTAACACTTGGAGGCTTTGGGCATGGCAAGTTTATAATACAGAATTAGCTGAGATGCATTTCTGGTTGTGACGTACCATGACAGCTTGTGTGCTATAAAGCAAAGCCATGGTTTGATGGATTTATTGTGTAGTAACGTGTAGTCTTAGGAATTTGTAACAATGGAGTAGATCGGTATCGGTGTGTGTGACATTTTTAATGTTTTGGGAGCTACAGTTGTCCAGAGGGTGGATAGCAGGGAACAGTTCATGGTAAAGTGTTAAGCATTTCATCACTGCTTGGTGGTACTTTTCAAAGGAATTGGGAAAAAAGTAATGCTATTAAAAAAAGGAATTTGTTTCCTTAAAAGTTTGACGAAGTAGAAGTTTGGATTTTGAGTACCTGACCATCAACATATTTGCATTTTGAAAAAACGCAAAAAGAAAAAGAGGCTAAAAATGGTTATTTTAATGTGGTAATGCTACATTGACTTTGCAGACATCATCATTTGATTGCACACCATCTCCCAGCAAGACTCCTTCAGAAAATCCACTAAATATAATGTTGGACATTGTTAAACAAGAAACAGAGGAGTCCTCTGACTCACCTAAAATCAAAGAAGAACCTGATGACACCCCTCCTGCCTGTGCAGAAGAGAGCACACCTGCATCTACAGAAATCAAAACAGAACCTGAGGAGTCTGTTTAAATAAACTGCGGTATGATTTTTTTTTTTTTTTTTACAGAAGAGCTGCTGTGTTAATTCTGGAAGGCAAATACTTTTTATATGAATAAAAATGTCCAACTGAGGCAGGGCCTCAACTACTGTTTGGTTAATAAATACATTTTTGTATTTGAAATTTCTTACTGCCTGCACAGTTTCAGGTGTCATTGTGTGAAAGTTCTGTAGATGCGTGAAAATTTAATGGTATATGTAAAAATGTAAAATTTTCACTTGTTGAAATGTAAATTATAAATAAAAGATATTTTTGCTATATATGGAGTGTAATGTTTATGCACACCATCAAATAAAGACAGTGTTTATGTACTTTTTTCAGTTTAATTAAAATGAATTTTTGCTTAATAAGATTCAGAAAAGTGAAAGCAAGTCTCTTCCTTCAGTTATTCCATAGGTGGGTTATCAAGGGAAGGAGCTTCTCGGACAGGCCTAGATTCCTTGTCTTTTTAAAGTTATTCAAACAAACTTACATATCCAAATGTTTAAAAAAACAATTACAACAGCAAAATAATAAAAAAAATCCACAAAAAAAACCAGTTCTGGGTAGAAGGGGAAAATTTAAGAAACCAACTGGAGTGCTTGATTGTGGTGAACACAAGTGCCAACAAAAGTTAACAAACCAGGATGCCTGGTATTTCAGGCATTTTTAATAATTTTTTTTTTACATTAGTCAAACACACATTTAATAAAGCTGAAGTTTCTTTACAGGGGGGAATGAATGTAAGAATGTTCATTTGAAACATGGTTAACATTTTCTTTTTTTGTTGCTTATGACTGGACTTAGATGGTAAACCAGATATCCTGAGATGTTAATATTTCTTAAATGTTATAAATAAAACTAAGCATATATTTGAGTGTGAGTCTCTTCCTTTCAGTGATGGGTCTGTGAGCCTGGTTTGTGGGATTGGAAATAAAGTTCTGTGTTTCAGTATGCATTTGATGTTTTCACTTTTCTAGTTATAATGTGCATTTTTAACACACATTGTTATATATGTGTTATTTACATTTAATGTAATATTTACATATTACATTGTTTGCATTAACTTGCTGGGAGCAAGAGGGAAGCACTAAAACTCAACCATGTCAGTCCTAGCATGTTACTCTTGCAGTGGGAATACTTGGGAGTTAAAATTCCCCCTTAGTAAGTGGAAGTAATCAGCAGTGCAGGAGATGTTGGCTGCAAAAACTTCTTGCCATGTTGACACCCAGGCCTCATGCAGTTTTTGAGGTGTGAGTAATGCTTTGATTCTTCTGTTAAGTTGGAGCTGTAGTTGTGAGCTTGCCCTGTTCTAGACATCAGACTTAAAAATTCTGTTTAATTAGAGACAGTCCGTTGGAACAGAAATGCAATGGCTCAGGGTGGTGTCATCCATATAGTAGTGTGTGTGGCTGCTGGCTGTTAGTTGTTGAAACCCCTTCCTGGAGCAGGGATGTAGCCTGGTCCCCTGGCCCAAATACAATGCTTTGTGTCCTGGATTACTGTAAACTTACAGATCATACCAACTGATACTCAGAGGAGACTGAGCAGAGATGTGATGTCTTTAAATTTGTAGGAGGCTGTTCAGTAAAGGAAACAAATTACTCTTGTCTGCTGGAGATAGAACGAAGACCTGTAAGTTCCAGAAATAGCCTTTATAACGGCTCTCTGATGACAGAGATAATTAAGCTCTAAATTGTCCATTAAGTTCACTTGGTCCATGTAATTATCTTTGTACACCTGTAAATCTGAGTGGGAAGGGTTCATCCTGCCTGGAAGCAGGATTCTGGAAATACAGGGTCCTTTTTTTCCCCCCATCAAAGGAATCCGGTTTAGCCCCAAGGTACCGGCTGGTTTTGACTAAGGGAACAGAGGAGCAGGATCACGTCACTGCAGAAAAGAGGGTTAAAGATTCCCACAGCGTGACTGGAGTCCGATCATCCAGAGCACGAGCTGTATATCTCGTGGTCAGAGCACCACTGGGGGGTTCCGAGGTCAGAACTGGTGACGTTTCTCCTGGGGAACGCCGCGAAGGCTGCAGCCCAGGGCCGTCCGAAGGCGCAGGAAGCCCCGGACAGCTGCAGCGCAGCCCGGGCTGCCGGGCCAGGCCCGCGCCTCCCCCGCCCCGCCCGCCATTTTCCTCCCGCGGGAAGGGCGAGCCCGGGCCCATGGCAACGCCGGGGCGGGGAGCAGCAGCAGCAGCACGGAGCTGCTCCAGGCGACAGCGGCGAGCTGCCGGCCCCCGGTGCTGCGAGGGGCCGCTGTGCCCAGCTCCGGCCGGTGAGACCGCTCCGCCCGCCCCTCCACCGCCCGCTCCTTCCCCCGTCCCCTCCCCGGTGACTCCCCGGCCCTGTGGCGCGGGGCGGGACGGGCTCTCCCGAACCCTCGGGTTTGTGGCACGGAGCTCCGCAGGGACGGGCTGAGAGGGGCCGGGGAGGGCCGGGGACTCCCGCAGCCCTGGGGCTGCTGCCGAAACCGAGCTGCGAGGGATTTGGTTTGTGTGTTACGGAAACATCGCAACACCTAAATTGTGCATTTCTCTATTCCGAGCCATATCCTTCTTCACTTAATCTCTTTAATTGGCTTATGGGCAGGTACCGGTCTCAAAGTGCTTACTGAATTCTTTCTGCCAAGTTTCCTCCCAGAACATCGAATAAGTGTCTGATAACAGTTTTCGGTAAGAAAAAAAAGAAAAAAAAAAAGAAAAAAAAATTAAAAAGTACTAGAACTATGGAGCCTGCCTTCTGTTTTTTGAAGTGTATTTTTTTACAGAACTGATGTTAACAGCTGTTTCTGAACTTCAGTCCCAGGCTGCTTGTGCTAAGAAGCCACTGCAGCCACCCACCCTTGGCGTTCATCTCCATGCAGCAGTAGGTATCCAGACGGAGAGGGGAGACAAACTTATTTCTGCTGGTGGCCCTTGTTGTTTGCTTGTCCTCTGGGTTAAGGAATAAAAATTAAAAAAACAGGTTGCCTTGAACTTGCTGTACCGAAACATTGTGTTAAACACGTTAGAACTTTGCTGTAGTGTAATCGGCCAGGCCTGCCTGTGATGTTGTGTAACTGGGCCGAAGTCTCTAACCCTCACTTGGTATAATGAGCAATTACTTCCTTGGCGAAATATTATGTCCTGGTGAAGCTGTTTTTTAAAATAACCTAACCAACCCAGACCTCAAAATATATTTAGATATTTTGGAAATATATTTGGAAACATAAATAAAAATAAATAATAAAAAATAAAAAAAAAAAATATAAAAAAAGGAGCTAGACGACCTCCTGAGGCCCCTTCCAACCTGAATTATTCTGTGTTTCTGTGCTGCTGCTGTTTGTCCTCACAGTGTTTTGCAGGATGGAGTCCTGGTTTTTAAGGTTTTTTTAGGCTTTGTGCAGGGCAGTCATGCAGCCTGCTGAGCTGGGGAGGTGGAGGTGGGATGAGACACAGGCACAGGACCCAGCAGTGTGTTACAGCACACACGGGGTGTATTACTGTCAGCCTACAGTACTGGAATACAGCTCCCTGCTCCTCTCTGTGTAACCCTAAATCTGCCTGAGCTCTACAACCACACTACAGATTACATGAAAATAGGCACTGGTAAACTGTAGAGACTGCTTTTAATTGTATCTAGTGCTTTTTTTACAAATATGACAAATATGTTAGGGCAATAGCTGTTTTGTATTCTTTAATATTTTTTTACCTCAAATTGTGTAACAGTGTTAACTGCTAGTACCATTTCTTCTCCGCAGGCAGAGGAGCTGAGGCACTAACACCTTGAAACCTTCAGTTTTATTCTTTCTTGACCTGCTAAACAGTAGCCCAATTCTTCAGGACTTCCAGCAGTGTGAAATGTAATCAGAGTGTTAGTGCATTTGTGTACCAGAATGATGACCACTGTAGAAGGTGAATACTAATTACTTTAAGTTCTTTTCATGCTTGGCTATCTGAAGTTAGCCCCCTCAACCATTAGATCCACTTACCTCTCATATTTCTGTTTACAAGTTTTGTCAAAGTATCAAGATGTTGCAAGGGGTTTGGACATGTAATTCTCCTTGTTTCCACTCATATAGTTAATCAGTGGAAAGGCCTGAAGGGAGGACACAGGTTATTTGATCCCATGGTCTGGTAACAGATTTTTTTTTTCTTTTACCCTACTGCTTCTATGTTTAGAGTTTGATTCTGTGCCATGAATGTCAACTGTGATATTTCTTTGATTCATCACACATTTTCCATCTCTTAAATGTCACTGATTTAAGCAATGGACTAATGCCCTTTTTATTATTCCTCACTAGTTGTCAAGAAGAAGCAAAATTATACTAGTGTGCATGAAGCAGTGAAAGCTGGGGATGTAGAACAGCTTGCATTGATGATAAAAAGTGGAGCCAGTATTAATGAGGTGGATGTAGTTCACAAATTCACACCCTTGCAGTGTGCTGCTCACATGGGAAGTCTGGAGGTAAAACATTACCTTAGTGTATAGGCATAGCTGGGCTTTTATAAGTCCATATTTCCTTCTTTGGGAGAGGCTGAACACAACATTGCTTTGATCAGACTGAATCAATAATCTCTGCCTGTTTTTCTCATGAGCAGGAGTACAGGATTTTGGATTTTTTTTTTTCTTTCTGAAGGCCCAGGCAATTTACCTAATCAACTTTGCCATATTTTACAAAATTGTTGATTTTCTTACTCTGAGCAAAATGTGCCTTATGACATTTCAGACTCATTACCTTCTTTTGTCTCTATTGCATTTTCTTCTTCTCTTGAGACATCTGGAAAATCCTATAGGATGTGCAAAATGTTCTGAAGCTGACTGAAACAGATGAGGAACGACATGAAAATGTGTTCATTCTGCTTACCAATATCCCATGCCTCATTCTCCATAGAAGTAGTCCTAATACATTTTATTTTAATAAATGAAAATGTTGAATAATGGTAGAGAAATCAGCAGGTGATTGTATCAATATTTTAAACTTCTAGAAGGACTGAACTGCTGTGCTCAGCACAACATTCCCTTTCTTCTTGCAGCCTCCTTGTTCACTGTTCATGGCAGTCTAACCTTGAAGCAGCAAGGCCATTCACATCCCAAAAGAAAAAAACATTAAGTTCTTGTTAAACTCAAGAATTGCTAAGTGCAGTGCTGCTTCTGGAATTTAGAGACACTGTCAAGAAAATGCTAATCATCACATCAGCCCCAAAACCAGATTGCTTACCCACTCTTTTTGTCTCTATAAGTTCTGCCATTTTTCATTTGACTCTCCTACTTTGCAATCAGTCTATTAGACTTTATTGAATTATCTGTCATCTGTTTGTCACTAAGCTCATTGGCAGAAATAGTGGAGGAAGCAGAGCTGTAAGATTGCCTGAAAGAAGATAATAAATCTTAATAATATGTAATAAAAAGTTCTAACAGTTCCACTAGCTGTCTTTGGATAGTTCATAAAGCTTTCCATTGCAAGCAATGATATCTAAAAAAAAAGTAAATAAAACAAAACTGAGTCATGGAAGGATGAGAAGAGAGATGGGATTACATATGTCTAAGAAGCTTAATAAATTAAATGAGGCTTTAAATATAGTACATGATACTTTTCCTGCTAGTAATTTTAGCTGGAATTCATGTGAGCATGTTTACATTTTTTTTCCCAATGCTTTTGCCTCCTGCCATGTGAACACTCTCACAGATTACATTTTTAATCTGGAAGGGTAAAATAAAAATGTCATACTGTAACATCGATGCTAGGATCTGAATCAGTATGTTATTCGGACATTTTGTACCCTTGGGTGAAACCTGGAAAGTATAACTTACCCATAACTTTCTCATGCACAAATACCTGTTTAAGGCATGCTCTGGGGTCTCGTTATTTCCATAAGGAAGTATTCCAACACTGGTTTGAAGTGTACCTTTGATGGATAAATTCTAGTTGAAATGTGCCTCAGAGACACAATGTGCCTAGTTAAATAAAAAGCCCTTTTGTTTGTTGAGCAGTGCCTTCAGTGGTTGCTGTGGCATGGAGCTGACACCACACGTGTGACTGTGAGAGGCTGGACAGCGGCTCACCTGGCAGCCATCCGAGGGCAGGATGCCTGCATGCAGGTACTGTAAATACTCACTCTCAAGCAAAAGTTAGTAGGGCAGACCTTAATACTGGACAAATTCATTATGAATATCAGCTGAGGGAGCCCCTTAGGGAACTATGAGCAGCTCATCTTGATGTCTTGACATGCCAAATTAAGTTAATAATTTTCAAACCAGAGCACTCATTTGTGCTGTCTGTGCAAACAGAGCTACTTTGTGCAATACCAGGCCCCTGAGGTCAGCCTCAGGGATAACTCTAATCCTGTTGGTCATCAGAAGCCATCCTTCTAGGAAATGTTTGCTTTTTCAGCTTGTGAAATGAACTTGTGCTTTGTCTTTCTTTCAGGCCCTGTTACTGAACGGAGCAGACGCAGCAGCTCGGGACGAGCGTGGGTGCACGGCCTTGCACCTGGCTGCAGCCCACGGGCACTCGTACACCCTGCAGACCCTACTGCGCACCGGGGCGGTGAGACTCCTGCCTGCCGTTCTGCTGCACAGCCACAGCCCAGCAGCTTTTCCCAAACAAAACTCTCCCTCAATTAAACTGAGATTTAGGGCTGTAGACTAATTACTGTGGGGCAATTCATTTAGTGGGTAAATTTCCATTTTCTTAGATTGTGGCATACATTCAGGGAAAGAATCAAAATTTGTAGAGAATCAATAATGTGAGTTAATCACCTTCCACTGAAGATGTCATTAAATGAACATCAGGTACTGGGGTGATGGTAATTTTTGCAGTTCTAGAAATATTCTATAGTAAAGGAGACATAAACTTAAAATAAAGAAAATTAGTCCAGATGCATATTTAAGGAGTAATGACCAATTCAGGTCATTGTGATGATAAAAATATGTCTAAAAATGTCTAAGTGTATTAAGTAAAAGCAAGATCCTGTGAAAAGTACCTGTCTTGCAACTGGAACTGTATCTAATGTATGAACTCTGAAAAATGTTATTTGGTTTGATTTAAATAATTTAACACAATGAACAGCTGATTCCCATATAAAATTTGTCTTGTGTCTAAGATTCAGAAGAGAATGAATTAACCTGCTTTCATTTTAGGAGGTAAATGTTTCGGATGGGAATGACTGGAAACCTGTTCATTATGCTGCTTTTCACGGTCGCTTGGGGTGTTTGCAGCTTCTTGTTCGATGGGGAGCATGTGTAGATGATGTGGATAACAATGGAAACCTTCCAGGTATATCAGGATAAATCATATGTTTTTAAACCTTTGGTTTACAGTTGTTGTGAACTGGGATAATTGGGTGAATTATAACTAATGCACAGCAGCACCGTTTGCTATTTGATTCCATGCAATCCACATAGATTGCCCATTTTTCTAATGATGGGAGGATTTATAAAATCCAAAGTGTTGCTCTGTTGGTGACAGTATCCCATTCACTGCTGCTGTTAGCAAGGATGAGAGCTTGAAAATGCTAGTATGGGGAGAAGGCTGAGCCTGACTGGAGCAGGTGAGCAGCATCTCCTGTGTGTGTGATGGAGCTGGTGTGCCAGTGGAGGTCACAGGAGAAAGACAGGTGGAGGGGGAGGCAGTTTCAGCTGCTATGTGCTACTTTTTGAATTGGTGCCAGTGTAATGAAGTCCTGGTGTGTTTGTATGCAAGTTTTGATATCCCACTGTTTCTTAACTGATTTTGTAAAACAGTTGCTTTCATTTTCCTGAGATTTCTTCATCTTGATTTCTGGAATACTGCATTTTTGGGATTATCTGTAATTTCCTTTCATAATTATCAATGTATTCATTTTAGCATAAAAATTGGCCAGTGATTTTGCCTTACTTTTTTTATTTTCTCCAGTATTCCTCTCCCTACCATAGCTCTGCCTCAATATCCTCTGTAAGATCAATGGTATTGTTCCTGTCTTGGATTCTCCTTGCATCCTTTCCCTTTTAACATTTTACTTCTTATGGTTTGTCACATTATTTTTTCCAAAGAGCATATGTTTTTCTCTATAACTTGTACAGAGCTATCTTCATAAATCCCTTCTTAAAATCTTTTACCTTCTACTAAGTACTATTTACTTAGGAAACAGCCATGCTCTGTTTTGGAAACCCGGGTCTTGTTGTAGGATTTGAGGCTCCTGCATCCCAGCAGGAAATCTGGTGCATTAGCAATCAGGGGTCACAATGTTAGGCACCCTGGGGGCAGCATGGAAGGCAGCTTTATTTCCATTTGGGAACACTTCCCTGATAGAAGACTTCTGTGGAGAGAAAACAAATGCCAGCACAGTTCTACTTAAATGCTCTGTGTAAAATGATTAGTAGAAAACTGGTTTTGTTGTATTTTGAAATCTACAGAAGCTTGATCTTCCGACCTTTGTTCTCTTTCATTTGATCATATTATCTTGCAAAGGAAAGAGAATATTTTGGAACATGGCTAGTAACAGATCAGTAGTAGTACTGTGCAAACCAGCTTGTTGTCTGCTTGTGTAGGAGAAGTGAACTTAATTTATCATAACACACTTCAGCTTCAAGATTAGCTGAACTGTGCTGTAATTTTTCCTAAGAGACTACTGGGAGAAATTTTTTGAGGTTGCAGTGCCAGGCACCTGAAACTTAAAAACTGGCTGTATCTTTTGCATATGTGTGTTATAGCAAAGGGTCTCATTAGCTTTGCTAATTTGCTTGGTAATCTTTTGGAAGAAAAAAATTCTGTGGCTCATTCAATGTAGAGAATGGGCTGTGCTTATTAACCAAACATTTCAATTTGCTTTCTCTCTGTATTAATTTTTGGGCCACATCCATGCTTCTTTTATTGCTCACTAGTCAAAAATTCTAAAAATCTATTCTAAAAATCTTTCACAGACACAATTTTTTGACTTGCAGCTTTGAGAAGAGTGAATATTGTTAGTCTGATTTAATAAAAGACAAGGTAAAACAGAGAGAAGTTGGGATACCAGAAGATTTTAGGTATCTGAAAATGGATTCATAAGGGTTGAGTCAGTTTTTCACTAGCTGACTTACCTTTAGCATGGTAGCCTTCTTTTCCCTTCTTCCTGAGAACTAACTCACTAACTAAAATTCAGACAGTGGCAAAAACTGCCCTTATTTCAGTGATGCTCAGATTTTAAACGATCATCTGTACAGAGGTATTCTCATCATGCTATAAAACCAATATCCACAACCTTTTAGAGCAATTATGCTCTGGAAAGCTGTGGATGGTTTGGTTTGCTATAGAGAACTTGCATGTGCCAAAAATGGAGTGAGATGGGTTTTTTGGGTCCTGGGTACATTGTTTGTTGATTATGAAGACAGTGAGATTCTTTCCTGAAGACAAACAAATCCTTTTGCCTCTAGAACATCAGCCAGCTGTTAACAGAGCTTTTTCATGGAGCAATAGAACATAATTAGCATTTATTCGGCAAGTTCTTCTCATTAATGGGACTAGAGGATATTACTTATGTCAAAATAGTCAGCATGTGTTTGGTTCCTCTTTTTTTGTTGTAGGCCCAGCACTGTAGTAATATTAAATAAGTAAACCTCTGCATAGCCTAAAGGTCAGGTGAGGAATGTACCTTCAAATATTTCGTCCAGTAAAGCAAGGACAGTAAATCACTGTCCTCATTTTATAGGTGGGGTAACCAAGAGTGTGATGCAACTTGTTTGTGGTGGCACAGTAGAGCCTAAAGCAGAAATGGCCTTGGCTCCTAATCAAGGACACTGCTTGCTGTCCCCCTGTAAGGAGTATCCCTGGAACAGCAGCTGCTGAAGGCAGAGATCTGTGTTCCTGGGGGAGGTGAGGCCCCAACAGTGCACTCTCCAAGCTAGGCCTCAGTGCTCTGCTGGGAGTCTGTTTTACAGTCTACTGCAGTCAGCTCTGCCAGGGAATCACCTTTGCAGATCCCATCCTTGGCAGCTTAATTTCCTTTGCCTAGAGCTGAACTCTGTCCCAGGTGGGAGCTGAACATCTGCAGTTCAGCTGAGACTGCTCTTCCCCTTGTGCAGTGTTGGATGGCTCATGTGCTGGTAGAGGAGCCAGCTCTAACCAGTGGTGAGAGCATTGCTTTCTCAGTGGGCAGCAGGGCTCAGCTCTAACACCCTTTGTTTTATTTGTGCTGTAGCACATCTGGCAGCAGTGGAAGGACACTTGCATTGCTTTAAGTTCTTGGTCGGGAAAATGTCCAGTGTTATGCAGACTCTGAAAGCCAGGAATGACCATGGAGAGACTCCAAGAGACTTGGCTGAACGGTTTTATAAAGATAATATTCTGCAATATATTGATGGTGTGGAAAAAGAGGAGGAACATCCAGAGATGCAGGAAGGTGAGTATCAATCTAGATACACTTGAAAAAGGCATTATGTGTAATTCTTTAGAAGTACACAAAGGCATACTTATTGTTATTTTGGGTCTGTGAAATTAATCTCTTAACTGTATGAGATACCTGTAGCCATAACCAAGACATGTTTAGTCAAGTGTCTGGTGAGCACTGCTGGTTACACTGCCGCATTTTAGCTGATTAAGGAGCATTTACCCTTGCTACCTCTGAAGTGTCCATACAAAAGTTGCTGTGAGAGAGGTGAGCTGTGAGACAAATACCAGCATGTTTAGTAGAACTGCTGGCATATGCTTGGAAACGTGCATTTCATTTTCAGTTTTAGCTTTCCCAGCTCATGATGCTGCTTTCAAAGGGGACATGTTAGTGGTTAGAAGACTAGTGAGAAGTGGAGTAATCAATATTAATGAGCGGGACGATAAGGGATCCACTCTCCTGCACAAAGGTCAGTAAATATGATCTGTGTTTCAGCTTGTTACTCCTTGTTGCTGATTTATTTACTTTGTTTTTCAAGTGGCTGCTAATCAGATAATGAAAACCAGCATCTCATTTCTTGAGGGCTTGGAAAGGCAACCCTAAACTCCTTATTTTTTAATGTATGTGTGCATGGACCACTCTGAAAACAATATAACCAAGCTCAAGTCAAGAAAAAAAGAGCTTATAACAAAGAGAAATCAGCATCTAAACTGAAAACTAAGTAGCACTGACATTTATTTACTTACTAGTTGTATATCAATATCAGCTTTGTTGGAATTAATCTTGCTTTTCAGTGATGGAGAAAGAATGGATCAAGCACATGAATTCCAGCTTTGAGTGATAAACAAGGCTGTATCCTAACAATAAAAGCTTTTAATGATAACTTAATTTAATGTAACTAAATAGTTTTGAGTTTTTGGGTTTTTTTAAATCAGGCAAGATGTGGCTTTTAGAAACATCTGGCTGGCTAAGTATAAGAATCATCTGTATTGCGGCCTGGGCCTTTATTTACATCAGTACTGCGGGGATATGTTGTAAAAACCACAACAAAGCCATTTGGTAGGATGCTGTGAAGAAAGGTAAACTTCTGGTTGACACTTTGACATGTAGTGCACTGCTAGTATTACAGAAAAAATAGTCCTTTTGTGTTTAGGGGTTTCATAGTATTGTCTGAAAGAAGAAACAAAAGATGTAAGAAAGAGGGAAGCATTTCTGTAAAATGCTTTTAACACATTTCCTACATTTCTTTTTTACTATATAGTAGAATTTTTAAAAACACAATTGAAATTCTTATTAAAATAACTGATATGTAGTGATTTTAAAATCCCACTTTCTTTTCTTGGAATGATGCTGACCTACAGTTGTTTCATCCCCAGTGTTTACATGCTGATGTTGTAGTTTCATTTTCTTATCTCAGTAAGAAAACAAATATAAAAAATAACCAAAAGGAAGTGCTGTCAAGAAATGGATTTATTCTTACTTGAGAAAATCAGTGTACAGTTTCATCTAGACTTGCCAAATACTATCTTCCTTAAGTGAGTCATTGTTCTTGGCACCACATGGTGGGAGCAGTTGCCATGGCACATCATATGAGTAGGGTTGTTAGGATGCTGCTGAGAGGTGCTGCCTTGAGTGTCTGCCCCAAGAAATGCTGTAGCTTTAGCTCCAGCACAAAGCTTTTCTTTTCTGAGACAGCAGCACACGCCACAGACTGGGGCAGCCAGCTGTGTCTGAACCTGGGAGCCCAAAGCCTGGGAGAGGTGGCAGCGCTTGGCTGCCAAACTGTGATATACAGGCCTCTCTTACTAGGGCAGCAGTTATTTGTGTGTCTTGTGCTTCGTACTTGAGACTGGGAAAGTTTAGTTTAGCTTGTCCAGCAAGAGCTGCCAATACATTTTGAGAACTAGAAAGAGTCACCAAACCACACGGCATGCTCTTCCCCAAAACTCTGTGTACCCAAGTGATGTCAGCATCTTGACACACAGGCTCCTCTTGAAATAGTATCTCCCTTGTGGTGTCCTAGTGAACCCAACCTTTGACATGTCAAACAATGGCAAGAGGAGGACATTTGAGGTTTCAAACACTTCAGTTGTGTATAACTGACTTGTGTGCACCTTCCTTCCCTTAGCTGCTGAACAGGGACATATCCATTGCTTACAGTGGTTGGTTGAAATGGAAGCTGACTGTGACATTACAAATGATGCTGGAGAGACTCCAAAGGATGTAGCCAAGAGGTAGCAGTACATATCCAGTAGCTCTGACACTTATTTACTTGCTATTTGTGTATCAAAAATTTGTGTATGTCAGCTTTGTTGGCATTAATCCTGATTTTCAGTGATGGAGAAAGGACAGAGCAGGCCCAAGAATTCCAGCTCTGATTGATAAGCAAGGCTGTATTGTAGCTATAATATTGTAGCTATAAAAGGTTTTAATTTTCACTTAATTTAATTTTCTTTTCAGTGAGGTCAGACACAAAAGAGGAAAACTAGGTCATTTTCAAGAGGACAGTTGTGAGCCCGTATGCTCATAGTTTGCTGTATAGAGTTAATGAGAAGTAGCAGAGGCCAGCCGATTTTTGCATTAGTAAAAATAATGCAGATTCTGATGAGATTCAATTAAGAAATCCTGCAAAGGAAAAAGATGCCTCTAATGTAGGAGCCATTGCCATAAGATTCCATCAAGGCAGAGCTCATGCCATAAGAATACTACAAAAAGTAGATAGATAGTTGTAGTGTGTATATAGTGCTTCCTTTAGTCCTGAAACCCCTCTGATAAATGGGAACGTGGACAGTTTCAGAGAGTTTCTACCACACATGTTTTTCCAGATTTTAACTGTTCTCTGTGTAGATTTGGCCATCTGGCAGCTGTGGAACTTTTGGCACCAAGAACTGCAAACAATAACTCTAGCGATGAAGAACTAGATGCAAACAACATAAAGTTTTTTGAAACACATGGTGTGGAAGGGAGTACAGATAGCAAAGAAGATTTAACCCTGGATAAAGCAGAGAAAAGGAATGCACGCAGTAAGCACTGTATTTCCATCATTTCTTGTTTGCAAAAGTTATCAAGACTAATATTATAGCCCTAACTATGACAGTTCCTGCCAACTGCTCTGATTTTTCAGTTGTAAGATGAGATGGTTGTCAGGATATCTGTAATACTAAGCATTGAAACAAATTGTTTAGAAAGCAAGCAGAAGGCAATCAGATCATAATTTTTACACCATTTTAATCTGTATTGGAGCAACAGTGTTGGATTGCTAATTGTTTTTGACATCTGCTTGCTGTGTGGGTGTCAGGTGTAGCTCAGTGTTTGCTGAGCAGTGTGATTTCTGCTCTTGTGTTTGTGAGACTATTTTCCAGACTATTGGATTCCAGCATGACTGTCTTCTCCTTGCATTTGACCTACCTGTGACTCTTTCTTACAGTAAGGGCCTATAACAAGATTAAAGAACTTCAGCGACTTCTAGAAATTGCCTACAGCAACTACAGACAGCTGGGGGGAATAACTGAAGAGGAGAGGAAGATGAAAACAGAAGAAAGGAAAGCTGAGAAGTAAGGTCATTCTGCTCTGCTAATGGTTAACTCTGAGGGGCCCATTTTAAATCCTCCTGTAAAGCTGATTTTCCTCAAATTTGCTTTGGCCATTCTGTCTGTTCCACTTACCAACTTCAACCAGGCCAAAATAAATGAATTGCAGCAATTTGTCTGGCCATTTCTAAACTTCTACCACCATGATCAGCCCCACAACACAAGTGCTTGATAGGTTCATGATTCTTGTGCAAGACCATCTGTTTGGTCTTCAGGTTTTTCTTATAGGTTCTGGCTGTTTTATTTCCACTGAGGATGCCAAAGACTTGTATGCCCTTCAGGAAATCTGAAAATAAGCAATAGTCTTGGCATGGTTTGGATGGAAGTGCATATACAGCAGAGATTATTCAGTGACCTGCTAACATTTCTGTTCATTGGCAATATATTGTGATATATTGGCAATATAAAACAAGCATTAGCTTGTTTCCAGACCACAGATAAAAACCTATCAGCAAACCTGCCCTTGCATGTGAAGCATTGTTCATGATATCTAATTCTCAGTGTCCCCATTAAATCAAATGGTTCTGTTAGGTTGGTCAGGTGATTTCATGGACAGATTGTCTACATTTCAAAGAAAAGTCTATCAAAGATTTAGAGAATTAACAATACTTCAGTCTCCAAAGACAAGCCTGTCTCCACCTCTGCCTGTCAAACATTTGGCTACCCTCTGTTCTCAGTCTCTGTAGATAACCACTTCCATAATGTGTTTGGGCCAATTCAAACCACTGTCTTTGATTGGTCACTGAGAGAGAATATCCTGAGCCATCAAGATGTATGCCATCAAGAAGGCAGCAGACTTAGCAGTCTGTGTGGATTTGGAGCAGGTAACAAGCGTCACGGAATGCAGTGGTGTTTGTTTTACAGCCATATCTGAGCCAGGAGTTCTTTTGGTTTCAGGTCACCCTTTGACTTGGCTTATGCTGAAAGTCCACCTTCCTTAACTTGATACATAATCCATAGGTAACATTTCTACTTGCACCTGAGTTAGTTGTTGTGAGCTCCTTTTTCAACATCTTGGAGAGGTGTAGGCACTTTCAGGGCATTATTAGACATGTACTTCAGGATGAGATTAATCACTTCTAGAAGTGTCTTTCTTGGTTTTAAAGGAGGAAGGTGACCAGCTCAGGTGTTGATGCCTACATTGAAAGGTTAGAGCAATCTGGTTTAAATGATGGAAAAGTCACTGTTGATTAATGACAGACATGAAAGTTCATTTTGGATAAAGCAGCTGCTCAAAAGCTAGCAGTGTCTATTAGAAGGCTCTGGTGGGGCTCTTTAAGGGATGTTGCTTTCTGTGGCATGTGTAGCTAAACTAGAAAAATTGTGAGGCTCTCTCTCCCTCCTGTGAAGGCTAGAAAGCATCCCTAGCCCCAAACTATCCTTTTGAAAAGGAAATGGGGGGCTTCTCAGCATACCTGTCTACCCTTCGCAGGGTACCTACCTGTGGATAAACCCCAAGATGCTTGTATCATAGGCCAGAAAACCTCATTATTGACAAAATACTTACGACAACGCCATTTTGCTAGATGAAAAGCAGGAGTTGTCACTTGGAATGGCCACTGTAGCAGATTTTGAAGATTTCTGCTTTAGTCCAGATTTTTTGGCTGTAAGAGGCCTGGCCACTTCACAGTGCTTTAACCAGGGTTCATTGCAGGAATTTGTCACCATGAGTGTGCCACACAGTTTGGGAGTTGTGGCTCTTTAATTGGAAGCATGGAAGAAGTCAGCTGTCCCCTGAGCACTGCACACAGACCATTCTTACAGTGTCAGTAAGGTTGATTGGTGGCTCAAAGGGTCAGGAGTTCTTCACTCTGGGAAACAGGGAAACACGGTAGATCTTGCTGAGAGCTTTCCTGCTGTGCTGTTTGAATGCACAGGGCAGATAGCTTCCATTTCCTTTTACTGATCTTCCATCTTTGTAGCTGTGATAATTTATCCTGGTACAGGAGAGAGCCAGCTCAACGCCAAACTCTGTTTATGTGTCAGTTAAACAGTTCCAGGAATCTCAAATAATTTAGGAGCCGTTGAAGGTGTGACCAGGGAGATCTTGTGCAACTGTATATAAGCCAGTCATGCAAGCTGCCATCTGAGTGTTCCTCATCCGTGCCTAAGCCAATCAATAGGAAGGATGTAGAAGCACCAGATGTGAATGAGAAATCTGCCCCTGACCTTTCCAGAATGCTGCTGGCTTTGTGCTTTTTCTCTGTTTCGTAACAACTTCGCTGGGGCTCGGGCGCTTCTCCCTCCCCCGCAGCTGGAGCGTGGCTCGGTCACAGGAGCGGCCCGGGCTCGGTGTGTGGGCAGACGGCTCCATCTCGTGGTCCCATCGCGCCGAGCACCGCTGGCAGCCGAGCAGGGAGAGCTGCTGCTCAGCGCTGTCACCAAGCGTCCGGAGCCTGAGCACAGCTGGCGTGAGCGTGCTGCGCTGCTTTCTGCGTGACTGACCTGTTCCCTGGCAGAGGCACAGCACCGCGTGGAGGAGCCGGGGCAGGTTTGGATGTACTTCATGCTCTGCTTGTCTCCTTTGCTTTTGGCAGGGCTGTGAGGGAGCTGGAGGCCCAGCTGGAATATGAGCGAGTCAGGCGGGAGAAGCTGGAGAGCCAGCTGGACGATTATCGTGCTGAGATAAACCAGCTCCGAGAGGGCAGGGGGAACACCCGCACCGCCTCTGCTGCCTCCGCGGTGAGCGCCGCACCAGCTCCCCTGGCCGTGGCACAGAGCCACTGCCTGTTGCCTGTGTGTATTCCCTCTATTAGAGGACACAGTGCTAGGAAATACTAGAGAAAATGTGCTACAGCTTTCAGCCAGGGGCACTGAAGGGAGCAGGAGCCCTTGTCTGTCCCTGACAGTGTCTCTGCTGTGAAAGGATATCAGTTTCTTTCTGTAACCTGGCAGAGAAGCACTGCTGTTCTTCATCTTGATGTTCACCGCAGGAGCGGACTGATCCAGAGTACTTGCATACTGCATAGCCAGTGACTGGCAGCTCCCCTTGGCTGGCACCTGGTGTCTGAGACTCGAATGGTGCTTCAGGAGAGGTGCACCACCTATAGAACTACTCAGCCTGCAGGGGTGTAGAGATCGCTACCGTGAGTCCCCAGAGGGGGACAAATTCAATAATAGGGACTTGATCCATGTCACAGTGTCTGGAGTCAGTCAGGCATACTGAATGAGAACCCAAGATCTCATAGAAAATTCATGGAGAGAATTCAGTTTGTTTGGGAAAGGAATGGTACATGCAGCACTAGAAGTTCTCAGACAGAGGCTCTATTTTTAATTAAAAATTAAGCTCTTTTTATATGATAGGGACATAAGAAGGACGAGGACACCAACACTGCAAGCAGCCACTAGCTGATGATGTTTCTAATTTTTTAGTTTTCACCTGTACAGACAATAGATGATGGTGCATCTATTCTTTCAGAGTGTTTTTTATTTCCCAGACTGTTTTCCACCTTTTCAGTCAATTGCCTCTGCAGTCCCTTGTTTTTGTGCTTGTTGGTGGAATCTCAGGCTCTGAATGCTAGGTGCCACAGCTGTATTTCAGAGAGGCCAACTGCACTTCTTCAAGGATATTTCTGCTTCTCAGCCTTGTGATAGCCAGGCTGGCAAACATTTTCTTTGTCAGTATTTTTCATTAGGCAGGTTTTTTTTTGGTAATTTTCCCCTTCTAACCAAGCTGCTTTTGTGGCTGAGTGACTGCTATAGCCAAGGAAGCCCACGCCCTAGGACTGTATTCTCAGCTTCAGTCTGAACACAGTATTCCCTGGTTACTCCCAGATGTAGATTTTTACATTCTTTCAGTGGTTGCTGTTTAATGGCTGCAGTATTCTTTGTTTCAGAAAGCTGAGACAATGGCCAAGTCTTGCAAAGACAAGAAGAAAATAAAGAAGCAGCCAGCCTGCAGCCCAGGAGGAGCAAGACGCTGAGGAACGAACCTCAAAGGAGGGGCAGCAGACTGTGGAGGTATAAAAGCAATATTTTAGATAATGTGAAGTGTTTGCACAGCCCAGCTCTACAGATGAGCTGTGGGTCTCTGCCTTTCACTGAACTATGTTTTTAGTTCTTTAGTTCTCTGGCCTAACAAGAGGAAAGTCACAGGCCTTCACAGTTCTAGAGGAAAGTATCTCCATCCTCTGGTCTATTTTGTACTGCTACCTTAGGGTGGAGAAAGTGCACATTACCCTCCTAGCATGTTCAGTGTGGAAGCTGAATAGTGGGTAGGAGAATTACTTCTCAGCTGCAGAACTGCCAGACCCCTTGCTTTTCATCTTTAGTCATTCCTAAAGGCAGCAGGAAGTGACTCCACTCTGAGGTGCCAGGTGATCTGCAGCAGTCTAAGTCAGGGCTGAAGGATTTACTAATTTATGGGGCAGCTTGTGGTTAGAAATGGCAACCCTGACCTCTCCTTCACACCTAACAATCAATTAATGACTACACATGTAAAAGTTTTTCTGTCAGCTGTGTGCTATTGTGAACTTATTTTCCCTCTGGAACCCTCATTTTGAGACTTAAAAGGTAATTCTTTTAGTGTGTCAGTCCTGATCTGTCCTCTCCTTAGTACTGAAGAAAACTTAATATCTGAGAATTTCAAAGATACTGAAAAATAAAAATCCATGTTTTTGTGTGCACCATGAAGGAGAGGGACGCTGACTTAACAGCATAAGCCTTGCATCAAGAGCCTAGTTCAGGGTGTGTGAAATGATGGCTGTGAGAAGCTGTGCCAGACGAGCTATTTCCTGTCACTATTGGTGCTAAACTTTCATGCAGAAACTCTCAGATATCCAGACAGCAAATAAAAGAAATTAATTTTATTTTCTTGAATGAAGATGATAAATAATTTAATGCAGAGGATATAAGAACAGGCAGAATACCAGCAAGTTCAACTGTAAACAGAATAAAACAGCAATAAAAATAATTGCCACTAGCCAGTACTACATAGTCCTTAGCCCATAAAAGGTCTATTCTTACTTCAAAGTTAATCCATAAAACTTAAAAAAAATATTATTTTACTGTAAGAATCAAACCAAGCATATGCATTTGTACTCAACAAGATGGAACTGCTTCAGTTTTGGAAGGCATCCATCTGTGTTGCAACTCTGCAACAAGAGTTGTCAAGTCCCTGCAGAAGGCAGTGGTCAGGAGGGTCAGTGTGTCCCACAGGATTACAGAAGAGTCAGGAGGAGTGGGGAGGAGGATCAGCACCACCACCACCCTGGCACCACTGAGATTCTGAGTATTTCTATATTAAAAGCCAGATACTATGCCCAGAAAATATGTACAGGTTCTTGAAAATACTCTGCACTACTTGAGGGGGAAGTTAAGAGCACTTATCTGTCCCAGGGCTGTACACAGGTACAGGTAGTAGAAGCATTTCCCCTTGGAAAGGCAAAGACAGAGAAGTTCTCCCATTCTTTTGACCTCTGGGCTTAGAGAAATTGCAGGAGATACTAAAGAAAATAATTCTATAGAGACGTTTTGTACATGAGGTTTTGATGTTTTCATGATGAGATTTTTCACGTTTTGAAGGAAGGAAAAAAAAAAAAAAAGGTTCTTTAGTTAAGGTCCAGGAGTGTGTTTTTACACATGTAGTTAAAAAAACAAACAAAGGGCCAAGCTTCAATTAACCAAAAAAGTGAGGAACAGACTGAAGGCAAAATCCTGAAGCTATGTTCAAGATTAATTTACTTGGATCAGATTAGGTATGTTGAAGTCTGGTATCAGCATCCCCATACTGGGAACTCTAATTTGGGACTTGTATTCCCATTACAAGGGTATATAAAATATTTAATATTTCCATTTTGAAAGGAGCCGAGAGTGAGAATTTTCCAGAAAGAAAACAAATTTAATTCTAAAAGATATTAGGAAACTTTCTGGTATAGCGTAAGAAATACTTTGAAATAAATACAGTATTGAATAGAAGCAATGAAATATTACTATTTGGCTACTTCCCCCCAATTATTTTGATCTTCAGTGTTACATATTCAGAAAACATTTTTATTATATGGGAAGAATATCAAAACAAAAAGGTGCCGAAGTTAACTACAGCACAGATGTGTTTGTCAAAGTGGTATTGCCTGGGTGGCCTTTTCTGTCTGCATTTAGTGCAGTCATTCCACGTAGATCTATTTCCAGAATCTGTAAAATCCCAGTGCTATTGCTAAGCAAGTGAACACCGAAGCTGTTAAAAAACCAACAAAGAAAGGAAATAATTAGCTGAATGCTGTTTTACCACATTATCCATACAAGAAATTAGCTGCAAACAGATGGAAGAATGTACCCGCTCTAGAGCAGAGCCTCCTAAACCTCCCGGATTGCTGCAGGTGCGACAGAACAATTCCAGAAGCCAATGGCTGTCTCAGATGCCGTAGCCTGCACAGCAGCACAGCCGCAGTGCTGAGATGGGACGTCCTGCACAGCAGCCTGAGGAGCTGTGTTTTCAGGGACACATCCCAACAACTATGCTGGAAGCCTCAGAGCAACACAGGCTACAGGGGCTTTTACTACTGTCACTGGAAACTGCACTACAGGAGAGCTGGCTGCACCAGAGCTCACATTAGATAGCACAGGTTTCACATGGAACCAAAATGACAGCAAATTTGAAAACAAGCTGTCAAACAACAGCAGCACTTCTGAAGCCTGACAAGCTGTCCTTTGGATTTGTTACATTGCTGTTTCAATTAGTGTTAGAATAAAACTAATCACATTTTCTTTTGAACTTATTCTCACTTCCAAATATAATGCATTACTCTCTTTTTATCTGGCTCCTACACAATAAAACCTTCACTGGTTACGTATATATTGAGAAGACTAATCTCAAATCAGACTGAAATTTGTTCTGCTTGGCAGGGGAAAGTACAAGCGCTGCCATACTGAAATTGTGTGTGGAGACTCAATCAGAGGCTGAACTGGTCACTCTCAGACCAGTCCTGAATGATAGCAAACTTTCAGGCTAATGTAAAGGACCCCAGCAAAACATCTGTAGCAACTCCATCACATCAATCAATGGCTGCTGCAGCAAGCAGAGGTACTGTTAAACTGGATAAGGTATTTTTGCTTTCAATTTTTTTAAAACCATGTCCGTATTTGTCCTAATCCCACTTCTGGGCACAATCCTAGTCCTGCTGTGGCATGCTCCCACCTCCTCTGTGTTCTCTATCACATTTCTTCCAGCTAGAGGGGGGAGGGAAATCTCCTCCACCCAATCCAGGCTGTCTGATGCTACAGACATGCTGTCTCTTTTAGCATATACTCCTGGAAAGAATTTTATACATCCACAATCCAGTACCAGTACTCACCTCCTTGCCTATCACATACCTGCCAAATAGCGAATGGTATCAAGTTTATTTGATTCCATGAGCGTTTTTAAGGAAGCTATTTCAGTGTCAATTTTATTACTGATTTCTGAGATAATGCCGTTGGTATGTGCATCCTGAAATATTAAAAGCATATATTTGACAATGGTCTCTAACCCCTTCAACTTTCCAAAGCTCAACTAAAATACTATGGTATCAGAAACAAGAAGCAGTTTCCAACCTATCTCTGCTAAGAGACATTAGAAGACAGAGAACATTGCTTTATACAATCCAGGAAGATTGCTGAAGGGATAGAGACAGAAAAAAAGAAAACTCCAATGATCATAGAATCACAGACTGGCTTGGGTTGGAAGGGACCTTAAGACCAGCCCCCCTGCCATGGGCAGGGACACCTTTCACTAGACCTAACTAGGTTTGTCAGAGCCCCTTCCAGTCTGGCCTTGAACACTGCCATGGATGGGGAGTCCACAACCTCTCTGGGCAACCTGTGCCAGTGTCTCACCAACCTCAAGACACAGACTTTGTCTCTGATGTGCCAGTGGCTCCTAAAATAGATAATCTACAGCACACAGAACAGTATTCCTGCATTTTTGAAAAACAAAGGTTTAAGCATTCACAAGGCATATTGCAAAAATGGAAGATATGCTCAAGATGGGACATTGTCCCTCTTCAGCCTCTTAGACTTTGCTGTCCTCCAGCAGCTTTGAGGACTTCCAGCTCTTGAATTGCTTGGCTGTAGGCACCTGCACCATCCCTGTGGCACAGCTCATCAGTTAATACTGGGAAAAGGGCAGCATGATATCTCACATCCCACCTGTGCCAGCCTGTGACAAGGTACTTGGGAAGTGAGGGACAAGGCTGGAGCACCTCCCTCTGCTGACTGGACTTTAGCGTGAATCCCACAGGCAAGAAACACAACAGCCCTATGTGACAGAGCCTGGCCTTTTGCTTTACCATACCCAAAATGTATTAGCTTTCACCAAAGTTTGGGGTTTACATAACATGCAATGCATAACTATATTCTGCTTTGTTCAATACTTACTTTTTTATGAAACTCTGTAGTTGCTTCCATCAGTTTCCTCTCCTGATCTGTAAACTGTGGATAAAAGATAAATCACAACTCTAGCAACAGAAACACGACACAGAGCTAATAAGGGCATCTTCACAGACCACTTACCATATCTGTCACCCTGCTCCTCTCCAGGTTTATGTCTAGCTTGCTGTCAGCTCGGATTTTTCCTGTTTCAGTCTTTAAAACAAATTAAGATTATGAAAATAGCTATTCATTTTCTCTAATGGAAGTGTGTGGATATTTGGCGTTTACTTACCATTAGCTGCTGTTTAACTTGATCTAATTCAATTTTCATTTTCTAAGTGCAAAGGAGAAAAAAATTTTTACAAATTCAGGGAACTTAAACAAACTAATCAGTGATGTAAGTGTTATCTCTGCATCCATGCAATTAATCTTCCCCATTTTTCCTCCCAATGGGGCAATCTGTTCTTGATTAAATATCCTAACCAATGTGTTCGGATATACAGGCATATATAATCTGATGGGAATTTAGTTCAAAATGAAGGAATTATTTTGTAACAATGATGGTCTTGTAATTCTGAGTCTAAAGACAGAGATATCAAAATACCATAAAATATAAGCAAAACATGTCTCAATCACCAAATTAATTAAATTGTTGCAAAGGAATGGCTGACTCCTCCCCCTGCGCTATATTGTTAATGCCCAGAAACTAGCAGTTACCCTTAAATAAAATTACAGAAGATGAAAAAAAAGTACACATCTTAGAATCCTTTACAGAAGATCTGAGCAGGTCGTAGCATGTGAAATATATTTTAATGTGATCTCTGAAGTTGTAACATACAGACTCTTCAATTCCAATAAAAGTATCTGGAATTACTTTTACATTTATATTCTATTACACAAAACTGTACATCAGGTAAAACACAACAAATACTGCAATTAAACTGTTTAATGAAAGTATGTATTAGTACCTCGTTCTCTGCTCTCAAGTTTGCAAATTCACTTTTCTCCAGGATGACCATATCTTTCCGAATGGAGTCCAAATGTGCCATTATCTGCTGTAAAGTTATTTCCTTTGAAAAATAAAGCATTCCATTGATTAAGGTGCACTCTTTCTGGCAAGTAAAGAAAAAATGTTTAGGTCTGAAATGATGAAATTAGCTACTGCAAACCACAAAAGTGGGGAGTCTCTCTAACAAGAATGTGACAGAAACAGACAATTTCATACCAGCAATTTGTTTGAAACATTCAAGAGGTTTGTGCTTTTCTGTTGCTCTAATACACCAACTCTGAACTTAGGTAAAAAGGCTACTTAGTCCAAGTAGCGATGAAATGAAATAGACCTGAAACTACAGGTCAGTCCTGCAGTCTCCTCCACTTTCAATTAACATTCAGTAGCCTCAGAAGCATTAATTGTTGATCTGAATGCAGCTCTTAATAAGCATTTTCATTTCTTGCCTTCCTAAGTCTGATGGACAAGTAAAACACTGCTAAAAAGCACTGAGGAAAGCCTTCCTAGGGTTTGAACTAACAAGTTCAGAATTCAGCCACTACGTATAAACACAGGAAAAAACACAAAGAGGAAAATAAAGGAAGAAACTCAGTATTTTAAAATGCTGAAAGCAATACTCCTTCACCCAGCATATGGAAGTTACCCTACTATTTAGCATGGAAAATGACACATTGCTGTGGGATTTTCTGATGCACAGTGATGGTTTTGATCATTGCTCCAGAAGGCTGTGCAAACTGGAAATATGTACCATTCTTCTTCCATTAGTTAATGTAATTAAACTTTCATTTTTTATTTGAACTGCTGCCTTTCTTCAAAAAGATTTTTATTTTACTGGCATTTACTTGTAATAAAAGTTGTCTAACTTCTTTTTTTTTTCTTTTAAATCTCAGAAGAAGACAAGAACTTCTGTCTCTGTGGTGTTTTTTCATCAAAATGTAAATATTTCTTTTCAGAAATCGTATTATATGCAAAGAAAGTCAGCATCCCAAATAGAATTTGCATGGAATTGTATTAGGCAGAAACAACGGTTTTTATAGTGTAGTCAGTATTGATAATAAATATTTTAAGATGGCATGAGGCATGTGAGCTCCTCAGTGTAAATGCAACCAAAGTTTTTGCAAGAATTGTAAAAAGTTGTAAAAGTTAAATTCCAGTGGAAGCTGCTCAGGGCCTGTAACTATCTGTTAAAATCCCAAGTGAAACTAGCAATACCTGGCACAGTGAGGTGTTTGTAGTACTAGAGAGAGCTGCTCACTTGTGTTTTAAAGATGCAAACATGAGCTTTTACAGCTGCACAGCACAGATGAGTTTTTACCTGCTGGGCCTGTGTAACCATGTCCTTATAGACGGTGTCTAAGCTGACATTGGACAGGGTTATCAACGCTGACACGATGGTCTGTGCCTGCTCCTTCCCAAAGCCTAGGGGACAATTGAAGGATGATAGGTTAAGGTGATACTAAAAATCTGGATGAGGAGCAGGAGACACTCAAATGCTGCACCTAACCACAGTGGCACATGGGAATTCACACAATGACTGGAAACTGACAGCCAGGAGCCAATCACTTTGACTTCAGCTAGAAAAAACAAACTTAATGCTGCAAAAATCTGAAGCACAGTACCTTTTAATATACTGAAAGTCCAGACATGCAGCTGATAGAGAGACCAAATTTCTTCACACAAGATTCAGTCATTCATGCATTATAAAAATAATTTAGCAAAATTTTACTTCATAATGAACTTTCACAAATTGTGTAAAACCAAACTTACCTTGAGCTACAAAGCATGCAATCTATAGAATAACAACAAATAATTCTGCATATATTGGAACAGTCCTGCACAGATAGGAACATATACAAAACTGATTTTTAAACTGCTGCATTCATTCCCTGCAGAATGAACTCAAACTGGGATTTTTGTCTTCTGATGATAAACAAGTAAAAACTTTGTCTGTAGCTTGGTGTAAATTTGAAGTGTTAAAGATGATGTGTGATAAATAATGGGGAAAAAAAATTGCTCACATTTTAGCCAGATCTAGTCAAGTGCTGAAAGCTTTTGCCCTAGAGATTTATTTCCAGCAATCTGACTGATACGTTGTGTTTCAACTACCCCATTTTATAAAGTGGGCTAAATTAACATTGAAAAATGCTTTCAAGGCACATTATTTAGAGAACTATGACACTTCTCCCTTCTAGAATACTAGTACTGTCCAGGTGCACTACTGGTTTACATGTCTAGAAAAGCTACATGTGCTTTATGACAGCTTCTTTCCACTACAAAGTGTGATAGTATTGCTTCAGTTTCTCTGAATTTTCAGGGTGACTTAAGCTCTTGCCAATTCCTTATGTTGCTCTTCCTTCACAGCAAGAAATGACTGTGTTTTGCAGAAGTTTAGAAAATGAGGAAAAATTTATATAAGCAAGAGATGGGAGCCTGAAAACTTCTTAAAGCTTGGGAAAAACAAAAATGGCTCCCTTACTTTTGTAGTTTTACCTATAAAGACCTGTCACTGTGGTACTGAAGTATTTGTAGAAGTTTCAGAACAAATTAAACTGAATAACAACCAGCACCAAACAGACTTCACCTCACAAGCTCTAAAGGAACTCAAATAAGAAATAGCTGAATCAGTCCCTGGGATGAGTAACATTTCACAGCCTCCCATGGTTACCCATGGACTGGAAAATAACAGTGCCAGTTCTTAAAAACAGTTCTAGAGAGATGTAGGGAAGTACGGGCTGTCAAGTCTGACAAGCATGAAAAGAATAAACATAGGAGACTACTGTAAGTCTTTTAACTGCTAACACGTATTATTATTATTAGACCCAAATAGTGGAAACAATCCTAACCTCTGACTGTACAAAGTTTCTTTTGTCACTTGGGATTTTAAAAGATAGCTGCTAGTCCTGATAAAGACATCAGCTCAAAGCTCAGAAGGGATCAATCAAGCAAACCAAACCCTTTAAATGACTAGGAAAAAGAACAGAGAACAAAACAGACACAACATTACTTTACTCTGCAAATCCACAGGACATTCAGTTGTCAAGTAATGCCAGCACTGTTCCCTGGAAACATGAAATGGTATGTGATAGAAGCACAAAATATTAACAGACGGGCATCATGAATAATCAAAAATATGGAAAATCTACTGCTTCAGGAAAAAATGAAACAAGCTAGGAAACTTCTGTTTGGAAAATGATGGAGTAATATGACAGAAGTTTGCATAATCATGAATGACATGAAAGATTAAATGTTCATTCCTTCTTCCCACAGATGAGCTAAATGGGCATCAAATTCACCTCACAGATGCCAGATTCTGCATAAACAAAGCACATGGATGTCTGAGGTTCCATAAGAAAGGATATTTTGGATAGTAATCAGTTTATAGTGGCTCAGGGACTGCATAAACTTGTGAAAAGCTTTCCATTGAATGCTACTAAAACTCTCAACTGACTTAAAATACCTCCAAGGTGACAGAAACTGGAAACTTGGAAAACACAAGGGGATGTGCGACATACACCTGCTGTGTTATAACACTCTGCAGGCTCTGACTCACAGCTGCTGCCAGGAGACAGAACCCAGGGCTGGATGGACCCTTTATCTGACTTCAGCCAGTCTCACCCACAACAGAAGTGTGGGCATTGAGAATGTATCACAGCACCATGCTGCTGAAAATATTTCTTACTAGGAAAAAACCCTTCAGTTCCTCTTAGTAGGCAAGTCGAAGCAATTTCTTGAAGAGCTTCATTTTTGCTATGAAAGTCTTCAACTGTTACTGTTACTTCACATTACTTCATAGGACATTACCTGTGTTATGTTCCTTCATCTGGAAGATACACATAAACCTGCCTACAGCTACAAATAAGGTAAACCTAATGTCTCCTTCACCAGCCTCCTCAAGACGCTGCCAAAACATTTTGCACCACCAAGAACTGGTACTCTGGAGAAACTGACAGCACTCAAAGTTACACTACTTAATATTAGAAGTTTTCCTTCGAATAATTTATCTCATATCACTTACCATGGGCTTCCAGATCCTGCACTAAAGCATGGGTATCAAAAGTCACCTTCCTCTGCTCCAGGGAAGTGATATCAACTCTTCTGACATCGTATGACTTCCTCACAAACGTGGCAGCAAAACCTGGAAATAATGAAACATGCCTTAATCTTACCTTGATTGGCTTATCATGCAATACATTAATTTTAATTTCTTCCATCACATAAAAGCTGCATGGATATTGCAACAAAAAGCTGGGTTACAGCACACACCAGAAACCATCAATCCCTCTTCCACAGGAAATTTACACTAAACAGGACTTACAGGTCTGTCTGAAGTGCATTCATGTAACTGTGCCACAGACAAGCATCCTGACACACCACAAATAAACCCCCACAGCCAATTGCTTTATAAATACTCGGGAAACATAATTTAAATAATTTTTGTACTTGTAAAACATAGAATGACTTTATGCAACTAAGCCTTCATTGCTATTTTATTTAAGTTGCTGAGCCTTAATTCCAACAGCTTTTTATTTTATCACAGAATGGTCTGGTTTGGAAGGGACCTCAAAGATCAACCAGCTCCAACACCCTGCCATGGGCAGGGACACCTTCCACCAGACCAGGTTGCTCAGAGCCCCTTCCAGCCTGGCCTTGAACACTTCCAGGGATGGGGAATCTACAGCTTCTCTGGGCAACCTGTACCACTGCCTCACCACTCTTGCAGTAAAGAATTTCTTCCTTATATCTAATCCAAATCTCTCCTTTTCAGTGGCTTGTGTGAACATAAAGGTACATTTAAAAAAAAAAAAAAATATGCAAGTCTAATTTTCATGATGAATGAATTTATTGGTTCACCAGGAAAGTAACTGGGCAGTAAAGGGATACAATGTTTGTTTCTAATACCTCAGTGATTAGGTATACCTAATCTCTAAAGAGGGATTAGCTAACCTCGGGTATTAGTTAAAGATCCACTCTATTTACGACATGCCTTCCCACAAACAGGTTTCACTGCTTCTCCTACTTTTACTTCAAGCATATGTTTCTCTTCACCTTCTCTTCACCAAAAATGTTTGTGCAGTTCTGCATATTACAGATTCTGTTCTGATTAATTATTTGTTATCTAAGCAGCCCTGTTACTTCTTAATCTGTTTATTTGAAACTATATGCACTGCTGGCTCTCTCTCTGCCTTAACCAGATTGTTCTGTGTCTTATCCAGATCTTTACTCAAAAGCTTTATATAATTAAAAAAAAAAAGGGAATCTTGTACTACTAGTAGATAAATCAAGTTATGTGCTATCTTACAAATACTATAAAGATCTGGCTAGAACTTAACCAGCTACAGCACTGCATTATTAATGACTCTAGTAGAGTTAAGATGCACCGAATGCTACAGATAATTAAAACCAACTCAAAACATCATTTTTACGGAGCTGTCCCAGCATTTAAACGCACAGCTCTTGTCTTCTAAACACATTGGTGGATTTTCTTCACTGGGTTGAACAGCTGCATTGCATAGACGCTGTCCTAAGAAAGGTGATATTACGGGTGTGGTTGCTCGCCACGCTGCTCTTGGCCCCACTGCTCCACTCCTGCAGTCTCGACAGGATACTCCTCTCCCAGCCCGGAGCGGAGAAAACCACTCCACAAACCCCTACCTGAGATACCTTTTGGTGACGCCCTCCTGCACCCCCTGGTAACTCCTCCCGTCCCGAACACCACCTGACAGCCCCATACGCCGCTCACCCGGCTGCTCCCGCCCGTGGAACTCACCCCTTGTTCCAGCCCCGAGGGAAGGCCCTCAGCGCTCCCTCACACAGCGCCTCAGGGACGAGCCCCGCGGCCGCTCCCTCACACCGAGTCCGGCCAGCGCCCTGCGCAGCCCCAGCGCCGCTCACAGACCCGGCCAGGGCCCACCCGACCCCGGCAGCCGCCTGCCCGTCCGCGCGAGGGGACTGCCAGCCGGCCGGGGGACCGAGCACGGCGCTGCGGCGCCTCTCACCTCTGCGAGGAGCCGGGGGCAGCCGGGCCGGGATCGGGAGCAGGAGCGGGCCGGCCCAGGCGCGGATGGCAACGCTGCTCCCGGTGCCCCTCATACTGCCCCAGCCCTCCGCTTCCGCCCGCTCACTGCCGCTTCCGGCCGTTCCGCGGGGCATACTGGGTACTGTAGTCTGCTACCGCACAGCAGGGCTCGGCCAGAGGCGGCGGCACAGCGCCCCCGTGCGGATGGGAGGAGCCCAGTGCTCTCGCCGCCATGTCCGCCCGCACAATGGGAGCTGCTCCGCTCTGTGACGCGCGGGGAAACCTCCTTGAAGATCAAGTCGTTCCAAACCCCTGACATGGGCAGAGACACCTTCCGCTAGACCAGCTTGTTCAAAGCCCCCTTCTGTACTTATCTCATGGCAAAGTTCTTCTGTGGCCTTCACACTGTTTGGGACGGGCAGCTGTGGTCTTTAAGTCTTTACGTGTGGGCAGGGACCCTTTCACTTCACCAGGTTGCTCAAAATCCCATCTAGGCTGGCCTTGACACTTCCAGGGATGGGGCATTCACAGCTTCTCTGGGAAACCTGTACCACTGCCTCACCACCCTTAAAGAATTTCTTATATCTAATCCAAATCTCTCATTTTCAGTGGCTTGTGTGAACATAAAGGTACATTTTTTAAAATAATTTTATTTTAGAAATACATGCAAGTCTAATTTTCATGATGGATGAATTTATTAGTTCACCAGGAAAGTAACTGGGCAGTAAAGGGATACGATGTTTGCATCTAACACCTCAGAGATACCTTCTCTGGGCAGCCTGTGCCGATGACTGGGCCCCATGATGGTAAAGAATTTCTTCCTAATATCTAATCTAAACCCGCCCTCTTCCAGTTCAAAATCCTTGCCTCGTGTCCTATCACTATTGGCTCGTTTAAAAAGTCTCTCTCTTTTCATAAGCCCCCCCAAGGTGCTGGAAGACCGCAGTGGGGTTTCCCTTTAGGCTTCTTCCTGGCTGAACGTGCCTGACTCCCTCAGCCTTTGTAGAAGTGCTCCAGTCCTTTGATCATCTTTGTGGCCTCCCCTGGACTTGCTCTAACAGGAACACATCCTTCTTGTGTTGAGTTCCCCAGAGCTGGACACAGCACTGCAGGTGGGGTCTCACAAGGGCAGAGCAGAACGGCAGAATCCCTTCCCTTACCCTGCTACTTACGCTGCTTTTGCTGTAGCTCAGGACACATTTGGGTCTCTGGGCATGAACACAACACTGCCAGATTGTGTTCAGTTTTTCAGAAATGAGAGCCCCCAAGTCTTTCTCCTCAGAGCTGCTCTTAGTAAGTTCCTCTTCTAGTCTGTGCTCATATATGGGATTGCCCTACCAGATGTAGCCCCTTGCACTTGTTGAACTTCATGAGGTTCTCATGGGCCCACGAATCAACAGCTTCTGTGTTGCCGAGATACAGACCTTAAAAACAAACCCCAACAATAGCAACAAAGAGCTGTCACTAAGGGAGAAGAGCCGCAGATCGGCGCCCTCTCTGCAGGGATGTTTTTGTTCCACGCTAACAGTGTCACATGCAGGCTCAGGATGGCAAATGTGCTCCTTGAGCAGCACACAGTTCTTTCCATCCAAAAAAACTTCCCTGGCGGCGTAAAGAGGCTGAGTGCCCCAGGGTGCTGATTTTCTACTTCAGACAAACAGCGAGATGGCAATCTGGGTGTTTGGAAGCTGTGATTTCTGTCAGCTGGAACCAGCAGCTGAGCTCGTTACGTTTCAGCAATTCAGAGAGCTTCTCGGGCATCAGGACTGCTGTCCCAGCTTGCCATAGGAGGGCAGCAGCCTACAGACGGATGGATTGGCGACGGGACTGTCCTGATTAATTCCCTCTTCTGCTCTTATTCTCATTTGTACACGTTTGGTGGAGGACAGCCTCTATGCTGTCCTCCACTATGATATGTGTAGCCATGTGCTCTCAGCTGGCTATTCTACAGCTTTTGCACTCACACAACTCACACATCTCTATATTATCAGTCCATTTGTCTGGGTGAAGGTCTGCAGCAGGGATTACTTTCATGCTGCCATACTCTGCAAGGATTCTCTAGGGTAGAAGGATCTTCTCTGAAACAGATGAAAATAGGGAAGGTGAGTGAATGTGGACTGCCAAGAGAAAAGTGTTGAAACCAGTGAGATGGTTGGAAGGAGGGAAAATAACAAGGCGCATCCTCTACCTGGTGTTGGGACCATCCATCTATCATCCCTTCCTCAGCATCCAGCATCACACCTCCTTCCCAACTCTGTTCTGCTTCACCTCATGGGGTAAGAGGGGGGCATTGCTGGGAAGCAGAACTGGCTCTGATCCTTCTCTTACCACACTGGTGAGACAAAGCCAAAGTGCAAGATACAGCTTGGGAGGCAAAGGTGAGCAAGACTGAACGGCCTGGAGTGGGACAGAAGCCAGCTTGCATCTAGAAAATAGTTGCTATTAGTCATGATTTTGTCCTCTAATTTTTTCAGCACTGGTTGGGATTGTATATATTTAGGAACATGAGACCCCCACAGTGTCTCTTACTCAGGTTAATGTATTGTGCTCTGACTCCTCTGCATTACAAAGCTGGGCTATGCCACTTGTGGCTACTCAGTGGGCTCTTTGTGCTTCAACATCATGCTAGCAAACATCTCTCAGGATTTCTCTCTCATTTGCCTAAGCTACCTTGCAGGCAGGAGTTTGTTACCTAGCAGCTTCTACCTAGTTTTGAACTGGCTGGATCTTAGGAGCTTAACTGTGCTTCACAAACACATGGAGACAAAGAGTGGGGAGCAGGTGAATAATTCCAGTGCAGATCAACAACAACAACAGTACAATAGATTCTGTATTCCTCATACAAAAGAATTCACTGAGGCATGCATCCTGGAAAGCTTTCTTCCTCCTAAGGTACCTATCACAATTTGTTTTTCTTCTAGATAAGCACATTTGCAGCAAATTAGATTACCTTCCAAATAAACATGCAGGGTGGGGCATGGGAGCCTGGGGTA